GCAGCCTTGACCTGCTGGGCTCCGGCGATCCTTCCACCTCAGCCTTCCGAGTAGCCAGAACTACAGGCGCGCGCTGCCACGCTTGGCTAATTTTTTGACTTATTGTAGAGATGAGGTCTCGTTGCCCAGGTGGGTCTCGAACCCGGGAGCTCAGGCAATCCACTCACCTCAGCCTCCCAAAGGCGCGGGATTACAGGCCGAGCCACCGAGCCTGGCCCAAAAGAAATTTTTAGACTGCATTCTGTAGTATTGATATAGCTATTCTGTGATCACTGTATGCATATATGTTATAGGGTAAATCAAATAAGTAATTATGTTGGCAACATTGGAAAGAAGAATTTTTGGCTTTCGAAAAAGAAAAAAAGATATAGATGTTGAAGTTATGTAAAAACTTTGTAGTCTTGTATTTGAATAGAAATTTTTTTTTTTTTTTGAGTTGGAGTCTCACTCTGTCGCCCAGACTGGAGTGCAGTGGCCGCTCCTGGCCACCACAGCCTTGACCTGCTGGGCTCCGGCGATCCTTCTGCCTCAGCCTTCCAAGTAGCTGGAACTACAGGCGTGCGCTACCACGCCTGGCTAATTTTTTGATTTATAGTAGAGATGAGGTCTCGCCAAGTTGCCCAGGCGGGTCTCGAACCAGTGGGCTCAGGCAATCCGCTCACCTCAGCCTCCCAAAGCGCTGGGATTACAGGCTGAGCCACTGAGCTCACTTTTTTTTTTTTTTTTTTTTTTAGAGACAGGGTTTTACTCTGTCACACCCAGGCATGAGTAGAGTAGCACAATCACAGCTTACTATAGTCTCAAACTACTGGGCTCAAGTGATCTTCCCACCTCAGCCTCCTGAGTAGCTAGTACTACAGGCATGTGCTATGATGTCTGACTAATTTATTTTATTCTTGCAAAGACAGGGTCTTGCTATGTTGCCCAGGCTGGTCTCGAGCTCCTGGTCTCAAGCAATCCTTCTGCCTTGACCTCCCAAAGTGCTGAATTACAGGCATAGGCCACCACACCTGGCCTCCATCAATTTTTTTTTGTTTTTTAGTTGGAATCTTACTCTATCACCCAGTCTGGAGTACAGTGGCACTCTCATGGCCACCACAGCCTCGACCTGCTAGACTCAAGTGATCCTTCTGCCTCAGCCTTCCAAGTAGCTTGGACTACCAGCAAGTGCTATCATGCTGGCTAATTTTTTGATTTATTGTAGACACGAGTTCTCACCAAGTTGCCCAAGCTGGTCTCAAACCCTGGACTCAGGCAATCCTCTCATCTCGGTCTTCCAAAATACTGAGATTACAGGTGATCCACCATGCCCCATCTTCAAATATTTTAAATACGTGAAGGATGCTAGGGAACCAACTCGTATTTTCAAAACTAGTAAATAGCCAGGCTCGGTGGCTCAGCCTGTAATCCCACGCTTTGGGAGGCCGAGGTGAGTGAATTGCCTGAGCCCGCGGGTTCGAGACTCGCCTGGGCAAACTTGGTGAGCCCTCATCTCTACAATAAATCAAAAAAATTAGCTGGGTGTGGTAGCACGTGCCTGCAGTTCCAGCTACTTGGAAGGCTGAGGCGGAAGGATTGCTGGAGCCCAGCAGTTCAAGGCTGCGATGGCCGTGAGTGTGCCACTGTACTCCAATTTGGGCGACTGAGTGAGACTCCAACTCAAAAAAAAAAACAAAAAAACAAAAAAAAAACCACTAGTAAATAAAGTGAAATAATCAGCATTTATCCTTCTTTTCCTGCACAAACTTTACTCAAGGTAACTACATAGAAAATAAGGAGCTTTTTAAAATAGAGTTATACGAACTCATAAATTAAAAGGAGTGATAGAATTAAAAGACCACTATTTTGTAATCCCTGTGAATTAACAGATACAGACAATGATCATAAATTAATCTGAAATAATCATTAAATGTAACTACCAATTTACAGGAAACACAGAAGACAGAGGAACACATTAATCAGTAAAATCCAGACTGTATTACAAACAATCTAGTTTTTAAAAAATCAAATAGTAAGAAACAAGAGAGGAGCTTCTGGACTTTTGAATACATGGAAGTGCCTAGAGGGTGGTGCACCCAGAGAGGACATGAAAGTTCTGTGCCCCTTTTCACATACACTTTGCCTTACATATCTCTTACATCTATGTGTCTGTTTTTTAACATCATGAGTGTTAAACCATGCAGGCATCATGTATCCCCTGATATGATACAATGACAAAGTACTTCACCTCTGTGGTCTTCCACCTAAATACCCAAAATCCAAATCAAGCCTTGACAAAATATCAAACATATGCAGACAAAATTGAAGGACTTTCTACAAAATACTCTTCAACCTGTCAAGGTCATGAATAATAAGGAAAGCCTATGAAATGATTACAGATTGGAGGAAACTAAGGAAACATAGTTAAATACAATGTGGGATCCTGAATTGGATCCTGGAACAGAAAAGAACATTAGTGGAAAAACTGGAGAAATCTGAATAAAATCTCTGTAGCTAAGCTGCTAGTGTTGTAGCAGTGTTCATTTCTTAGTTTGTCAAATGTACACTATAATGTAAGACAGTAACATTTGGAGAGGCAGGATGAAGGGTATATGGAAACTCTCTGTGCTATATTTGCAACTTGTGTAAATCTAAAATTATTCCAAAATTAACCAAAAAAAATTTTTTTTTGAGTTGGAGTCTTACTCTGTCAACCAGGCTGGAGTGCAGTGGCACGCTTGCGGCCACCGCAGCCTTGACCTGCCAGATTCAGGTGATCCTTCCACCTCAGCCTTCCAAGTAGCAGGCACTACAGGCGCGTGTCACCACGCCCAGTTAATATTTTGATTTACTGTAGAAATGAGACCTTGACAGGTTGCCCAGCCTGGTCTCGAACCTGTGGGCTCAGACAATTCTCTCACCTCAGCCTCCCAAAATGCTGGGATTATAGGCTTGAGCCACCATGCCCAGCCAAAATTTTTTAAAAGAAATCAACAAAAATAATACAAGAAAGAGAAATGAGAGAGAACCTATATAAAATAAGACCTAAGAAAACTGAAAATTTTTAGTCTATAAACCTTATTTATACCTCAGTTAAAACAAACTACAAAAAGTTAAAATTTTATGTATATATAAAATACTACACAACATCCATTAAAATAGCTAAAATGAATGAGACTGACAATGCCAAATCATGGCAAGCAGGTAAAACAATTAGAATTCTCATACATTGCCAATGGTGGTATAAAAAGAAACAACCATGTAGGGAAACATTCTAATTATTTCTTTAAAAGATAAAAAAAAAACCCAGGCCGGGTGCAGTTGCTCATACCTATAATCCCAGCACTTTGAGAGGCCGAGGTGAGAGGATTGCCTGAGCCCACAAGTTCAAGACCAGCCTGGGCAACTTGGTGAGACCTCATCTCTACAATAAATCAAAACATTAGCCAGGCATGGTAGCGTGCGCCTGTAGTTCCAGCTAATTGGAAGGCTGAGGCGGAAGGATCGTCGGAGCCCCGCAGGTCAAGGTTGTGGTGGTCGGAAGTGGTCACTGCACTCCAGTCTGGGTGACAGAGTGAGACTCTAACTCAAAAAAAAAAAAAATAGCCTCTTGGGCTTGCAGCCTAAGCACATCGTGTGGAGCCAGGAGCTCCACACTATGCCTGATATGAATTCCTGACCCACCAGACTGTGGAAGATAATAAAATGGTTAGGCCAGGCTCAGTGGCTCAGCCTGTAATCCCAGTACTTTGGGAGGCTGAGGCGAGGGGACCGACTGAGTCCATGGGTTCGAGACCAGCTCAGGCAACTTGGCAAAACCTTATCTCCACAATTAAAAAAAAAAAAAGCCGGGCTTGGTGGCTCAG